ATTTTTTAGGAAAAATATAATTCGGTGAACATCTAGTGAACGAAACCCGAAGCAAAACATACCTGGTTTAATTCATAACAAGATGAATCCGGTTAGGCACATGTCAGCGGTAGTTGGGGTCAAACGTCGATACTATGCTTATTCATTATTCAAGAGCATTTTTTCCCCTTTGTGAACAATTCAGTGACATAAATACCATAGCCTCATTAAAACATGGGACATCGATATAGGACATTGTTACAACTACACAAAACAGCCCAATTCATGGTTTTACTACGAACACATTTGCAGTATTTATTTATGGCATTCAATGCGACGTCAATCATCGGTGCGAACGACTTTCATGGCACACACATCGGAGTTGTTGCCTGAGAGAAAGGAAAAAAAAGAGAGATAGACAGACAGACAGACAGACAAATAGACAGACAGAGGGGAGGGAGAAAGATAGGAAGAGAGAGAGAGAGAGAGAGAGAGAGAGAGAGAGAGAGGGGGGGGGGGGCATAAAGAAGAAATTCAAGTACATAGGGAGGGGAGGGTAAAAGGAAGAAAAAATAAATATAGAGAGAAAAACGGAGAAGAGGGTAAAAGAGAAATAATAATAAAAAAAAACAGATAGAGATAGAGAAAGGTAGAGACAGAGTAAATTAAATAGAGACAGAGAAAGAGCGTGAATACCTGGAAGTGTTTCGCGCTAGTGTTCAGCAATGCAGAATCGAAGCGTGTTTGGCCGCAGCTAGTTTCCCAATGCCAAGCCATGCGTCACTAGCTGGTGTTGTTTATATCCCCTTCCCCTTCCTAGTTACTCCTGTTTCATTGTCGTTTTTACTTTTCTTTGTTTTTACTGATAAGGTTAAGAGGGGAAAAATTGTGAAAACAGGAAAATTTGCGTAGAGAGGTTTACTGAGGTACGAAGCTCAGAAAAATATAAATGATAAAATCATTGATGATGTTAGTGGTGACAATGATGATGATAAAATGGTAATTATGATAACAAAATGGTAATAGTGATAATAATGAGGTAATGATAATGATAATAAGAATAAGATAAAAGTAATAATAACTGAAATGGTAATGGCAATGCTAATAATAAGAATAATAAAAACAAACATCAATATATCACTGACGATGATAATGATAATAATATTAATGATAATGATACAGTAAATATGATAATAACAATAACAGTGATGATAATAATAACAATGATAACAACAATAATAGCAGTAATAATAATATTAATATTATCATTAATAATATTAATGATGATAATGATAACAATAATATTGATAATGATAATAATGATAAGAATAATATTAAATATGATAATTATAATAATAATGATGATAATGATAACAACAACAACAATCAAATATTATTAATAATGATAATAACATTAATGATAATACTAATACTAATACTAATTTTAATGATAATGATAATAATAATAGTAATAATAATGATAATGATAACAATGATAATGCTGATCATAATAATGCTAAAAATAATAGGAAATATGATGATAATGATGATAATAATGATAAGAACAACGACAACAAGATAAAGATATTAATGATGATGATAATAACAATGAAAATGTATCAGTAATGATAGTAATTGTAATAGTAATAATAATGATGATGATAACAATAATAATGATGATGATGATGATAATAATGATGATTATAACAGTAAGTAATAATAATGATGATAATAACAGTAAGTAATAATAATGATGATAATAACAGTAAGTAATAATAATGATGATAATAACAGTAAGTAATAATAATGAAAATAATAATAATGATGATGATATTGATGATTATGATAACGATAATGATAATAAGAGTTACTCTCATCATTATTATCATTATTATTACTAGCGGGACCCATGGAAACTCCACATAAAACATAAAACATGTAAAAAGTACCCCATCCCTCCCTTCTATATCTGTTCCCTCCCACTTCTCTCCTCTTCCTCCTCCTCCTTCGTCTCCCCTCTATTTCCCCTTACCCCTCCTCCTGTTTTCTTTAAGCCATCTTCTCCTCCTGTTCTCCTTCTCCCCCCTCTTCTCCCCCTGCCTTTCCCCTTCCCCTCCGAGCTTCCTTCTTAACCCCTCCCCCCCTCGTCTCGATAGTCGTGTAAATAATAGATGGACAGAAACTGACAGTCTAGCTATTTCAATTCAGTGTATTTGATCACGAAGAAGAATGACAATAGTAGTAATAATAATGATAATGATGATAATAATAATAGTAATAATAAGAATAACAATAATAATAATAATAAAAAATAATAATAATAATGGCAATAATAATAAGAATAATAATGATGATGATGATGATGATGATAAAAACTTATAAAGATGTTAATGATAATAATAATGATAAAAATTATAATGATCATACAAATAATGATAATGATAATAATTACAACAATAATGGTAATAATGATGATAGTAATAATGATAATAATAATAATAACAACAATAATAACAACGGTATTCAAGATAGCAATGATAACAATAATGATATAAGATCATAATCAAAATAAGATGAAATAAGATCAATAAT